GAATGATTTTGAAACTTTATTAAATCACTATTAGTAATATGATTTAAAAATTTGAATGAAATAGGAATATTAAAAACATGAGTTTCAATCGCTTGATTAGTAACCATGAACGGATAAATTTGAGTTAAGAAAGCAATACCCAAAATAACTTCATAATTTAGATCATCAACAATTATGAACCTATTTTCAAGTTGAATTTTTTTATTCAAAATAATTGCATTGAGTTCTCCCAAAACTTGAAGATTTAGACCATTTGCTGTTGTCAGATTTTCAAAAGTTTGAGAATAATATTTATATAGTATCATACAATGTCTTATGCAATTTTGATCTGCCCCACTGTTTATCAGTGCTGGCAGAGTAATTTGAAAATTTTTTATTGAAAGATTTATATGAATATTCCACTTTTCAAATACCAGTTTTCTAGTTTTCTGATAGTTGAAATGAATTGTAAGTCTTGAGAATCATCATCTTGTTGAGTATCATCAATATCAACCTTCTTATTCTTTTCAAGAATAATTTTGATTTGAGTATCAAGTTCAAGATTTTTGAGTTCAAGATTAATGACAGTAATATTTAACTGTTTTATTTGATTTTTCAAAGGCAAAATTGCATATAAAAGCACCACCTTTTATGTTTTTGCAATTTAATCACCACCTTTGTAATTTAGCAATTTAATACACAACTTTACTTATTTCTTGCAATTCGAATCACAGGGCCTAATTTCGGGCCTGTTCTGGTGACGTGGCATTTTGTGGTGACGTGGCGTTTCCACGTGTCAATGACGGGGCATCTTTGGGCTGACGTGACAGTCTATGTCAATTAAGAAAAAAAAAATATATATTTTGTAGAAAGGGGGATTTGAACCCTGGTCTCCATGGGAAAAAAGTAACTATGCTACCAACTCACCTATCCATGTTAGTTAACATATTCACTAACAATTTATATATATAGGAATTACGTATGAATAAATTATATTAAAATATAAAATTAATTATAATAAATTAATTAAATATAAAATTATAATAAATTAAATTAAATTAAATAAAATTAAAATAAATGAAGATAATTAAAATTTAGAATTTTATTAATTCATATTTTGTGTTAGAGTAAACCATATTAATAATATTTAATAAATAAGATTTTCATTATTTATTATTTAATAATCAGTTATTTTGTTTATTATTTTATTTTATTTTATTTGAATTCACCTTTTTTATACTTTATCATCTTATGTTATATTATTTTTATTATATTTTAATAAATATAACTTATTATGAAATAATAAATAAAAATAAATAAAAATCTTAAATAAATATAATAAATTAAAAATATAATTTAAGTAAATAAAATGTTAAATAATCGTAATGAATAATAAAATATTAAAAAACTTAAATGAAATAATAATTTATTTTATAATAATAAGTTATTATATTTATTATAAATTTATTTTAAATAAATAAATAAAAA